GGCAAAAAAAAGCCACCCTGCAGCCCCCCCCCAAGGAAGGGCGCAGCTTGTATGTGCCCCACCTGCCCCCCCCCGCCTCGGGGGAATTACCTGTCCCCAGCGGGGACATTTACCCCCCTCACCCCGTCCCTTCTCTGCCGGCAGCATCCGCCAGGTGACGGACGTGCAGAAGCGGGTGCAGGTGGACGTGAAGATGGCCATCCTCCAGATCATGAAGGAGCTCAACAAGCGTGGCAAGGTGCTGGTGAGCGATGCCCAGGTGAGCCGGGTGGTGACGCGGTGCCAGCGCTTCCCCTGTCACTGTTCCTCTGCCCTGAGGTGGCGTTGTCCCCCTCCTCGCAGAGGGTGACGGAGGGGCAGCAGGAGAAGCTGGAGCGGCAGCACTGGGCCATGACCAAGCTGCAGCGGCACCAGGAGCACATCCTCCGCTTCACCTCCTGGGCCCTGGAGAGTGACAACAGCACCGCTCTGCTGCTCTCCAAGAAGCTGGTGAGCTGCCAAGGGGCCAAAACCCCTTTGCAGACCCCCCCTAAACCCCTCACTGTGGGCAGGGAACCCCCCGGCACGGGTGGTTGGGGACCGTTGGCTCCCCCATCACTGTGACTGCTCTCTGGGACCAGTGGGGAAGCGGGTGCTGGAGAGCGAAGCCAAGCCCTGGGCTTGTGCTGTGTCTCGGCTTGGGATCTGCTTTCCTCTAGGTCCCCTGTTTTGGGGGGATGTGGGGCGAAGCAGGGTCAGAAGACGGTCTCCTGAGGAGTGGTTTGCCCCCAGCTCCCCCTCAGCCTCCCTAGGGTGCCCCGTGTCCACCGCTGCCTCCCCGTCCGTGTCCCTGTGGCTACGTGTCCCCAGGGTGCTGCAGTGGGGTCCCTAGGACATGCTGGGTCCCCTGGGGGTCCCCATGCTGTAATGGGATCCCCCCCCGCCAGGTGATCTACAGCAGGTCCCCTCAGAGTCCCTGTGATGTGATGGGTGCCACCAGGGTGATGCATCAGGTCCCCTTGGGGTCCCTGGGACATCATGGGTGCTGCAGTGGGTCCCATTGCAGTCCCCATGGTGTGATGGGTGCTGCTGCATGTCCCTTCGGGGTCCCAGTGGCATGATGGCTGCCCCTGGGGTGCTGCCCTGTGTCCCCTCAGGGTCCCTGTGGCACAGTGGGTGCACCAGAGTGCTGTCATGTGTCCCCTTTGGGTCACCATGATGTGACAGATGCCCTTGGGATGCTCCCACATGTCCCCTCGGTGTCCCTGTGATGTGACAAGTGTCCCCAGGGTGCTGCCACGTGTCCCCTTAGGGTCCCCACGTTACGATGGGTGTCTCTGGGGCACTGCCATGTGTCCCCCTTGGGGTCCCTGCGTTGTGACAGCTGCCCCTGGGGCTACCACATGTCCCCTCGGGGTCCCTGTGATGTGACAAGTGTCCCCCAGGTACTGCCATGTGTCCCCTCAGGGTCCCCACGATATGATGGGTGTCTCTGGGGGGCTGCCACATGTCCCCTTGGGGTCCCTGCGTTGTGACAGCTGCCCCTGGGGCCCTGCCCCCTGTCCCCCTCGGGGCC